ATTTTTAATTTTTAATTATTACTTTTAATTTTTTAAATTTTAATTAGTCTAAATAAGGTCATCCCTCATTTCTCACCTTTCCTCGTCATCAATTGTTTTTTTCTTGTGTAAATCTACCTCAGAAACACTTTTCTACACTTTGTTGTTTTTTCCTATTTTTGTCAAAGAAAACAAAGTACTAATTAGTTAATAAATGAATCTAATTATCTTTCCATTAATAACGCTATTAGAAAGCCGAAGATATATATGCTTTACGCCCCTTCGTTGATCCATTGATACTCTTAAATGAAAGCTGTGTTGTGTGTCTACAATGGCGAGACCATGGGTGCTGGTCGTCCTTCTCCTGTTAATTGTATTCACATCGCAGTTCGAGTGGAAGCAGCAACTGGGGAACGAAATCGAGGCGAGCCCCAACAATTCGCTCAAAGATCACTACGCTTCGCAACACCAAGAATCTGTAAAAGAAAAGGTACGTTTCCAAGCACCATGTCTTCAGCTTTGCTTACGATTCTGCGCAATTTTTTTTTTTTTTTTCAATTGATTGTCAATTGGTGAGACCCTTTACGCAATATGTCTGGGTCAGAGATTTCCCTTTTAGAATGACTGTCAGTTAAAGTCGACGAGTTTGAGGACTAGGTTGCTTTGAACTGACTGAAAGGTTAATTGGGGGGTAAACTTTTATTTAGGAGAGGCTTTCAAGATTTGGGCTTTTGCAAATTTTTTTCCTTTTCTTTATTTCTTTAATGGGTTGCTGCTGGCTCGATCCAATGCTGCATGGTCTCTCAGGGAAAATACGTTGTTTTAGTCTGTAATACTAGCTTTACCAAAGCACCAGACTTGTGTCATTGTTTTCTAGTTCAAGGAATTTTGAGTTGAAGATTCTGCTACTACCATGTTGTTGAGTACTGAGAAGAGCTATGTTGTTTAGATGATGTTTACTTCTGCATTGCCACACGACATGATATCTTTATGCTTAAGATATTCAAAATTAGAGATAAAAGAGATTCTGGTTTTTTTTTTTTTTTTTTTTGGGAGCATTTAAAATTTTTAGTTTTGGTTCTTTGTAAATAACTCAAGACTGTCTAGCTTCAAAAACTTCCCAACAAGGAAAAGATGACCAGGGGAAAACACAGTTTAGAAAATTTTATACTCAATCTAAAACATACTCTAGAGTTTTCCAGAAAGAGATGAAATCACCTTGCCAGGAATGTGGCATGGATTTAAGAGTTTATTGGCTATTTTGCTGATGAAATGATGGCATAATCATCCTAGAAAACAGTGTATAAGTATCATTTCAGCATGTTAGTTCATGCTTATAGTTGAGTTTGGTGTGGACTTCATTCACAGTCTAAAGAGTTCATCTGTAAAACTAGCAGCTTCTTTCTTGGCCAAAGTTGATTAGGTCTTCATATTGCTATGTCTTGTCCCTAGAAAGATTATTTTTATTTTTGGAGTCCCAAGAAGGATTCGCTTAGTGATGTTTTCTTGATTCTACAGCTTATGTGTAGCATCTGGTATTGTTGTCTGATCTCGTTTGATTTTTGCATAATGTTAGTATTCCATTCAAGTGAGTCCTTAAAATGTGCCCAGAGATACTATATACTGTGATTTGAAATATGACCAGAGCAAGTGCATGGGTAACCTAAGATGCTAATTGTATAACCCTAGCAATTGCACCTATCCCCTTTCTCTGCAAGTGAGCCCTTAAAATCAAGATTCTGAAAGTTGTCTTTGATTACATTGCCTAAACTCAGAAGTTTCTTTCTTTATTCAATACCTCTTCACCGCAGAAGATGGTGGGTTCTGAAACTTTACCCCAGTTTTCCTTGTAAGTATCATCAAGACTGAACTGGCCAGAACTTTACAGCATTTACTCCAGTATTCATTCAATTCAACTTTTATTACCATTCCACTTTGGCAAATGAAAATACATATATTCACATGGGGCGGGGGGGCAGGGGTGCTGATCAAAAGGTGTCACCATTAACATTAAAATTCTAGTAAAAGATGTCTTTAACCTATTATTAATCATCACCTATTATTAATCATCATGTATGTGCTCAGAGATTTTTTTTCATTTTTCTGGATGAATCAATAATGTGCTCAGAGAGACTATATACTGTGATTTGAAATGTGACCAGAGCCAGTGCCCGGGTTCAAGTCTCAAGAAAATACCTGTTTTATGCTGAAATGCTGAAAGGTAGGAACATAACCAATTAACCTTGTCATCCTCCTAAGACTTGGCAAGATTATATGACTTGCTGGATGTATCCACATGTTTGTATTCAAATCAACCTTTCCTTCTGGGTCCACTTCAGCCATGTACTATTTTTGGCCCAAATTCTTAGGGGACTTTTTAACATCTATGACTACTTCAGCCCATAAGCCTGTGCAACATGCTTGCTTACCTCCATAGCGTACTTCTTTTGCAGTGGATTTAGCTGTTTTCTTTGCACT